AAAAAAAAAAAAAAGACACTGACCGCCATTAAATAGACCCTGAGCAGAGGGCAACTAGGAGCCAAAGTAGCTCGACTCACATTCTTTTCAAACAAGAAAGGGTTAACAGATAGAGAATAGACAATTGTAAACTCTGACTACAACTAAATACTCCATTGGTCAGGTTTTCTAAACTCTTCTAGTAGATATCTCAAGATAAAACAGCACAAGTCATTTGTTAAAATAATATAGGTCAGGATAAAGTCATGATTCTACAAAAAATATTTAATTATTTTAATTAATTGAAACCAATCTGATGTTTTAGAAAATTATTATCTCACCATTTTGATAACAATATATAATAATTTCTGTCCTAACTTCAATTTAATCAACTAGGTTCTAACTCTATTGTGTACAATTCAGTTACTAAAATTATCCAATGGATGGTTTCAGAATCACATGGTTCACTCTTATGAACTGAATTTTCTTAACAAAGCCTGTATCAATTTTAATTAACAACTACAATGTTGAAGCTCAGTAATTCTTAAGAAAATGTAATTATCCATTTAAAGCATTCATATATAAAAAAATTAAAATTAAAAATACCTTGTAATATCTAAAGTAGTCACTTTCGAGAAGTTTTTGTAGTCTTGGGAAAAGCCTGTAGTTATTAAATCTATCAATAGTTTCAACGTCACAGGTACAATCATCCAAGTAACCACTAACCTGTTACAAAGAAAATGAAATATTAAATTGAAATGTCCTAAATGCAACAGGGTTCTTTTTCCTCACATGGTTATTAGGAAACAGCCCCCTATACAACCAATCCTTATCCTCCCTCCTCCCACATAGTTTCTTGAGATGGGGTATGACAATAATCTAGTAATACTGCTGCTCTTGCTATATACTGAGGAATGGATTGGATACTTCTGTAAGGTGTGCAGAGCTCATCACACACACACACACACACACACACACACACACAGAGTTGGTCCCCTGGCAACCATTTATTTTGTAACTCTGCCCTCCAGGCCATAGTTGACCTGACCAAGGGTAGGCATCTAACTCAAACCAGGTCATGGTCCCCCTCCAGGATCCTAGAATTGAGAATAACAGGGAAAGATGTCTCCCTGTGGCAAGACCAGTAAACAAATACTCCATCATGTGAACTGAGGAGCACATGAGCCAGATGGCAGAGAGCAGAAAAGTTTTAAAAGATACACAAAGCTTGATTGTGCTTGGAATTCTTGGGGGGAAAAAAAGATACACAAAGAAGCAGAAGTAGGAGATAGAGAGAAAGTACATGCTACTTGGATATCTGAGGGATTTCCAGCTCCCACTTCCACTTCTTTTCTGAGGCACAGCTGCATTCCCATCCTTAGCTTTCAGTAAAGATCTAACAACCCTCAAATAATAGGCTGTAACAATTTCTTAAAGGTTTGGAATGGTGCTTAGAAACTACTTATCATTAGTAACAATGAAACAGCAAACTGACCTCAAAGTCAGTCTGCTCTTCAAATTTTTAAAGCTAATGTCTCAACGATATGTACTAAATCAAGCTATTAAATGTGCATATCCTAGGATACAATGGTAATGATAATAAATATTATCAGTTATGAAACTAGAATTCTTTTTTTCTTTTTTTCACCAGTGTTACTTGCCAAATTAAACTAAAATTCTTAGGTGTTTATTTGAGCTAGAAAAACATCTAACAGAATTAAAGATTGCTTTAAGAAACAAATACGATTCCAAAAACAAAAACAAACCTAGAAAAAAAATGTTACATATAGCATGCTCCAGAAAAGAGATATTTATCATACTCTGGTCTAGATATTTGCATTTTAATCTACTTTGGATTATATTTTAGGAGGATCTATTGCCTAGAAATAAATAATTTAAAAATCTACTGACAAGGAAGCAAATCAATAATACTCTATTGAAATACTGAATTAAGATTCAGTATTTTAGAATACTGTAAAATCCTAAACTTTAATTTGAGAATATCACAAAAGAGTAATGGAAATTTTTCACCTAAAAGAAATAAGAATACTTTGGATGACAACAGCAATATTCAAGAGGAACTTTTTACTGCTTTTCCTATTCTTACTTGTTTTGGACTAATTCAGTTTCTAGAAATCTGATCTACATATTTTGTCATGTAATAACTATTTTCATTTCATATGCAAATTTGTCCTTGTTTCCTACTAAAAATTCTCTGAATACACAAGAATCTCAGAGTCCTAATTTTGGATACCAACAACACAAAGTACTTTTAACCTAAATGATTTGATTTTTCAAACTTTCTTTTGAACTTTAAGAGCAGAACTTCTAGGGACAAAAAAATAGCTGTTTCTCCTCTTTGATACGAATTATTATACAAAGAATGACAGACACAGAGACTGCAAAGGCCAAAGGGACATATGCAAAGTAGAGACATTAAGTTACAAAAAGAAATACATGAAAAACTTGAGAGCAAGTTTCAAGACATCCATTCTTCCCCCAGAGGAATTCATTTTTAAGGTAAAAAAAATCTTCAAGACTCAACTCAGTATCACCTTTTTCAGCAAGCTGTCCTTCCAGTACTCCTTACCACCCGCCGGGTTACATGCCTCTTCCAGCTGCTCCCAGGTCACTCCATACACTATTATCTAAGTATTACTGTACCTCAGCAGTGAATTTATCTATTTGGCTCCTGCCCACTAGAGTATAAAATGCTTGAGTGAAAAATCATATACTTCCAGAAAGCACACAGTAGATGCTCAATAATTATTTGTGGCCTGTAATCCCAGCAGTCTGGGAGGCTGAGGCGGGAGGATCACTTGAGGTCAGGAGTTGGAGACCAGCCTGACCAACATGGTGAAGCGCCATCTCTACCAGAAATATAAAAATTAGCCAGGCATGGTGGCCCATGCCTGTAGTCCCAGTTACTTGGGCGCCTGAGGCAGGAGAATCACTTGAACCCAAAACGCAGAGGTTGCAGTGAGCCAAGATTGCACCACTGCACTCCACTGCACTCCACTGCACTCCACTGCACTCCAGCCTTGGCAACAAAGTGAGATCCTGTCACAAATAAATTATTATTATTAATTATTATTATTATTATTTGTGGAAGAGGTGGGTGAATACATGAATGTTGTCCATTGGCACTCATCACTGGGGACCAGCACCATACCGTCTCATTAAACATATCTAGAACCATGTCACCTATGGTATGCTCAGTGCCCCAGAGTACACAAGCACAGGGGCAGAAACACACATAGCAAGTAAAGCAAGCAGCAAAGGTAAACACCTTTTGTGTCCATCATTCTTCCTATCTCTATCCTCATTACAAAGGAAGCTCTAAGAAGCCCCAAACCAGAAAGAAATGCAAAAATCCTCCAGAGTAGAGGTGGCATATAGCCAAGAGACCTCAAAGGGAAAGGAGGCAGGATAAATGGTAGATTTTAAAATGTTCTTGGCCGGGCGCAGTGGCTCACGCCCGTAATCCCTGCTTTGGGAGGCCGAGGTAGGCGGATCACGAGGTCAAGAGATCGAGACCATCCTGGCCAACACGGTGAAACCCCGTCTCTACTAAAAAAAATACAAAAAATTAGCCAGGCGTGGTGGTGGGCGCCTGTAGTTCCAGCTACTCGGGAGGCTGAGGCAGGAGAATGGCGTGAACCCGGGAGGCAAAGCTTGCAGTGAGCCGAGATGGCGCCACTGCACTCCAGCCTGGGCGACAGAGCTAGACTCGGTCTCAAAAAAAGAAAAAATGTTCTGCCCCTTCTGAAATACGGAGTACGAGGTATTCTTAACTACAACCACAGGTGGCAGGGCAGCTAAGGGAGTATAATAAGGGTGGCAGGAGTTTCAATGGATGAAGACAGTTCAGTAAAGAAAAGACAGGAAGATTCTCGGAAATCCATGCCATCTGACAGCTCAGATAAGCCTGCCAACCTGATCCCTGGGAGAGAGTCTGGCAAAGATGGTGGCAGGATCAGTTCTAGAAACCAGAGAACAAAGCATAGTTACTAGAATAGAATCTCAGTCAGGCAGTGGCTCATGCCTGTAATCAGCACTTTGGGAGGCTGAGGTTGGTAGGTCTCTTGAGCCCGGGAATTCCAGACCAGCCTGGGCAACACGGTAAAACCCTGTCTCGGCCAGGCGCAGTGGCTCACGCTTGTAATCCCAGCACTTTGGGAGGCCGAGGAGGGCGGATCACAAGGTCAGGAGATTGAGACCATCATAGCTAACACAGTGAAACCCCGTCTCTACTAAAAATACAAAAAATTAGCCGGGCGTGGCGGCGGGCACCTGTGGTCCCAGCTACTGGGGAGGCTGAGGCAGGAGAACGGCGTGAACCCGGGAGGCGGAGCTTGCAGTGAGCCGAGATCACGCCACCAGCGGGGCGACAGAGCGAGACTCCGTCTCAAAAAACAAAACAAAACAAAACAAAACAGAAAAACCCTGTCTCAACCAAAACTACAAAAAAAAAACAGAAACAAAAAAAAACTTAGCCAGGCATGGTGGCATACGCCTGCAGTCCCAGCTGCTTAGGAGGCTGAGGTGGGAGGATGGCTTGAGCCTGGGAAGTCGAAGCTGTGATGAACTGAGATTGCGCCACTACACTCCAACCTGGGCAATGGGAGTAAGACCCTGTCTCAAAAAAAAAAAAAAGATAAAGAGTAGAGCTTTAGGAAAGGGCTAAGGTAAAATACAGTTAATAGACACAGAACAGGATCCTGGAAACAAAGCAAAATCCTATTACCTCAACTAAGACCAAAGACAGGTGCCAACTTGGAACAGGGAGGACTGGATGTTGTTTCAGGAAGTGCTAAGGCTGCCTAAATAACTACTAAATGGAACAAAGGTAAGGTGGAAAATAACTACTACACTATATCCCAAGGTGAAACAGAACTCTGACCTACCATAGAAATCTAAATTTTTTTTAAAAGCTAATGTGTTTTAAAGGTTAGTATCCTAACGTTTGAGGTCCACTGCTCTAAGCTTCAAGTAATGACAGTTTTTGGTAGAGGGCCAATCTAATAAGCAGAGATAAGAAGGCCCCAGTTGAGGGACGATAAATAGGAGGACCAAGGTAGGCCTGACACCTTAACATGGACCACTTCAAAATTCTAGCCTTTGGTCAGGCATGGTGGCTCACACCTGTAATTCCAGCACTTTGCGAGGCGAAGGCCAGAGGGTTGCTTGAGTCCAGGAGTTTGAGACCAGCCTGGGCAACACAGTGAGGCCTTATCTCTACAAAAAAATAAAATAACTAGCCAGGCATTGTGGTGCACGTCTGTAGTCTCAGCCACTTAGGAGGCTAAGGTGGGAGAATCGCTTGAGCCAGGGAGGTCGAGGCTGCAGTGAGCCATAATCATGCCAATGTACTCCAGCCTGAATGACAGAGCAAGACCTTGCCTTAAAAAAAAAAAGTCCTAGTCTTTTTAAGAGTTAGAGAGCCTTGGAAGGCTTTCTATTACAACCGCCCAAGCAAAACAGAAAATGCTTCTATTAATATCCCTCAAGGAACAGGCAGTGTGTAATAATAGTGTGTACATTCTAACATCAGACCTCCTTAGGTTTGAATCCCATCTCTTCCAGTCATTAGTTTTTCACTTATTTAACCTCTCTAGGCCTTGGTTTCTCGTATTAATAGAAAATAGTGGCCGGGCGCAGTGGCTCATGCCTGTAATCCCAGCACTTTAGGAGGCTGAGGCAGGCGGATTACCTGAGGTTGGGAG